TTGCGTTGCTTTTTGTAGCGCGCCTGCGGCAGTCCTTGCGCGGCGGTACCCTAGGGACTTTGAGAGACCGGGTCCGCGACCCATCGAACTCGCGGAGCGAAAATAGCTGCAGCAGCGCGATTGCTTTGGCAAGTCCGTTTGCTGCGCTCCACATACTACTACTACTACTACTACTACTCCTCCTCCTCCTACGACGACGACGGCGATTACCACTACCACTACCACTGACACTACCACTACCACTACCCCTACCACTACCACTGCCATTACCACTACCACTACCCCTACCACGACCACTGCCATGACCACTACCACAACCCCTACCACCACCACTGCCACTACCACTACCACTGCCACTGCCACTGCCACTACCACTGCCGCTGCCATTTCCACTGCCACTGCCACTGTCACTACCACTATCACTACCACCACCACCTCCTCAGTATCCTCCTCCCCTCGGCCCACTCATACTCCTGGCCCTAATCGTGCTCGTACACCTGGTCCTACTCTTACTGCTACTGCTATTTCAGCTACTGCTGCAGCTACCGCTGCCGCTGCTGAATGCCGCCGATGCCGCTGCTGCTGCTGCTGCTGCTGCTGCTGCTGCTGCTGCTGCTGAGGCCATTTGCCGTCGGTTCCAATGTTCAAGACGCTCCAAATCGACATACTTTGGAGCAAATCTTGCAGATGAAAACCCATGATCTGAAATGCAGATGTGCAGCTCGTCAGCACGAAGTACATCGAAGAAATTGTATTCCACTTCACCTGCTTCAAAATCACTGCAGACTCTTGCGAGGACTCTGTCAAGCACAATTGACGTTCGAATCGCGGTTCAAACATCCAACTAAGCCAGCAACTGAAGCCTTCTGCTCCCGTGTAATGCTATCGTCTTTCCCCTGTCTCTACCAGAATGCTGCTACTGCGACTGCGATTACTGGCATCACTGCTTGCTGGAATAAGAGCATTTTCACTGATCTTGCTCTGACCGGGGTTATATCAGTGACAGTTTTACTTGCTAACCAGCTACCCGAAAGTGTAGATGCGCTGAACACTGCCCTTGAGATGGCATGACATGGCTATGAGTTCTGAGCATCATTGCTCGGTTTGGGAAAGGCTAGTGCTTTCGTCTCCCAAGGCTCAGAACAGACCGGTGGCTGTCAAGAGTTGGGACACCAGGGTGGATCACACTGGGGAGCACAAACCCGTTCTATAAATCCTGAGAAGCTCTCAGCTTGGTGATTCTGAGGTCCTTGGGGGCAGTCGGGAAGCCTAGCTTGCCCGAAGATCCCTAAACCCTACACCGTGGCGCTTGTCACGTTTGACTTCTCTCAGGGCTTGCGGCAAGCCCAGCGGCCTGGGAGAACTCCACAAAGAAAGGCGGATCGCCGAGGTTTTCCTCAGAGGGCGACGGTCTCAGGCTTCAGATCACAACTTCGCCGGGATCAGGTCAAAAGGGCTGTCCAAAATTAGGACTTCCGCAACTCAAGAAGAACATCTTGCAACTTAGTCTCGAAGGTGAGCATCATCATGGCCATGAGATACACCTCAGGGCAAAGGCTGCATCCAGTCTTGCTTCCAGCCTCTGCAGGATGCCTTGAAGAACGTAGAGATCAGGATGTCCAGCAGCTGGTTGCGGAACATCTGGCGGAGGCAGAGAGCAAGAAGGTTTCGGGAGAGTCCACCCCTTCTCTAAAGGCATCCCAAGCCTCTAGGTTGATCTTGTAGACTCTGAGGATCTTGCTCCAGGACCGCAGAAGATGCAGCGCCTAGGAGTTCAGCAGAAGCTAAGAGCTGAGCGTGACAGGTCACACCACGTGATTTTACAAGTGTTCACAGAAGTCTGAACCCGAGCATCATGCCGCCAGCCAGGAGGGCGCGAACCACGTCTTCTTGCCCTAACAAGCTCTGGCATCCGAAGAGCAACTCGAAAGCTCCGCAGAGACTTCCCGCGGCTGTGCACCGTAACAAACTGATCTGTGCCACGCCTCGAACTCTGCCACGGGCAGGCTAGCTATCGATCCTGAACGAAGATATGTAGATCAGTTCTTTGAAGCCAGGACGGCAGCTGTGTGAACCCTGGACGGCCTATCAGGATCGAGTCTGGAATCGCCCGATCGAATAGCCTCGCATGCGCACAGGAACTGAAGAATTCGAGTGCCCTTCGGCTTCAGATGACTTCAGCAGCTTAAGCACTGCTGTTTGTCGTCACCGGGAAGGCTTGCACTAAGAATGGCCAATCTCAATGGCCGATCTTGGTTTCCAAGATATGCTTAGGTTTCACATGACACTACCTTGTGCAAGGAAACTACAAGCTCCCGAGACAAAGGGAGAGCCACCCCTCCCATTGCTTGGTAGCGCACATCCAGTAGAATCCTGAGAGGATTCCCTCGCAGTGGGCAAAGCCCCAGAAAGGCAGCAAATAACCTCAGACCCAGCTCATGATCAAGCTCACTGGTGCCCAAGGCTGCCTCATGCTGAAGACAGATCACAGGGCACTGCCTTCCTCTCAACAATACCACAGGAACACTGCTGGCCACTAGAAAGCACTGGTGTCAGTTGAACCATCACCCTGCCAATTTCTCTCTTTCACCCTCTCGCTCGCGCTCTCTCTCTCTCCCTCGCTCCCGCCGCCTTTATCGTTTCTGTCCCTGCTCCGCGTCCCTCCCTCCCTCCTTGAGAATCCCGACTCCAACCTTGGAACCTGCTGGACGACTCCAAGCTTTGAAGCACAAGCTTCTTACCTCCTAGCCCTACGGAAGCCTTCGTGCCAAAATGGAGCCAAAGTCAGCGATAGACGATCACACGTCGCATTCACACCATTCATCGGGAAATTGGGGTCCATTTGGCCTGTCCGTAGTCCCGGGGTCGGAATTTGCCCATGGGCTTGAGATGAGAGAAGTGGGGTTTCGGTATGTTTCGGTTAGTTGCTTGGTTGGCAGGTTGCAGCTGAAGGCATCGACAGCTTTGCCAACTTCCGAGAAGCCAACAGCCCACAGCAAGGCATATCCGAGGTACAAGAAGACGAACACCAAAAGCAATGGTGCGGCATCGTGCGTGCGTAGATGTCGTTTACTGTATGCTCTAGACACCGACACTTGCATTAGGGATCATGCGCCGTCAAAGCTGAAGACACAGAACGATGCCCGTTTCTCTGGAGACTGTGATCCCAGACAACTGCCCGCCAAACCGTTGCAACAGCAGACGAGCAGCAAAGGAAGTAGAATGCGGGGATGGCTTCCAGGATGAAGCCAACAAAGGGCAGCGAAGTCGTGTACCTCAGCACGGCAGGGGTCGTAGTGATGCTGGTAGTCGTCGTGGTCGTAGTTGTAGTCGTAGTCGTAGTAGTTGTCGTTCACTAGCCACAGCAGCAGCAGGCAGCAGCAGCAGTAGTAGGAGGAGCAGCAGCAGCAGCGGTGGTGGCGCATGACGGAAGCACTCGAGCAGCGGGAACGGCAGCAAAAAGCCGCCAGCAAGAAGCGCTCTCGTCTCAGCTCTGTTTCGAAGGGCCGAGGCTGGAGCGTTCGCACACAGAAGTGGATGGACTGGATCATGGCGAGCGCAAAGTCGAGCCCAAGCCAAAACTTCGATGTGTTTAGCCTACAAGCGATGCAGAAACGAGTTGGGTTTTGACCATGATCCGTTTCTGCTTTTTGGCTTCGGGATTCAAGACGAACAAAGCGAAGGCTCCAGCCGCCAAAGCAGTGACAACTCATGCTACGCTCGGAGAAAAAGTGGTGGTGCCATAGCCCCAAGCTCCCTTCACGAGGCAGCTTCGACAAATCGGCCTGCCTCAGGCATTGCAGCTCCAATCTCAGCCGCCATGAATCCAAGTTGGACGTCGCTGCTGTTATGGACAGAAGCAGGCCGACACCTGGCACACGAGCTTCGATCGCAATGCAGACGAAGAATGCTAACATGCCAACAATTCCGACATGAAGAGCTTTACAGATTGGCACGTCTGCGATCGAGGCTTGGAGCGATTCGCCGAGGATGGGCAAATCGGAAACCCCAAGATGCTCCCTGGTTTTTGCACTCCGACGAAACTTGTGATCAGATGCATCTGGCCCCAAAAACTGCGGCCTAGCAATGCGCCATACAGGCCCCCACCTGGGCGGCTTTCCAGATCAGGGCCGGTTCAGGGTATCAAAACTCTAGATCGTGGCAAGGCTATATCATTTATATCATTACGTTTTTTTCGAGGTTGCCTGGCAGCCAGGTGGCTGAATGTAAGCTGCTGGAACTCATAGTCCCACGAGATCCCGCCACAGTCTGAGTCGCAGGAGAGCCCCTGCATTCAAAGCAAAGGTGTGAGATTATAAACAAGGAGGCCTGGCAACCGGGAAAGAACTGCCTCGCTTGCCATCTGGATCACTGTACTGACATGATGCGGACACGAGGTTTAACCACCCCTTGTCTTAACCTGCTGTGAAGTCTGCAGACCCGTGTAGCTGCCATTAAGTGCAAAGCATTCCAATGTCACTGAGCCCCAAGATGCACAGCATAGGCGGTTTCAAAAACTCCCAAGGTACAATTAAGCTTTCCAGCATGAAGAACACCGTCGAATTCCTTTGAGCCAGGAAAACGACACACGCAAGTGAAGCCATTGACAATTTTGCCTGCGTAGTCAGCAAACGTGTCGCTATCGGCTCGAGTATCTCAGCCATGCTGTGATCTTGACCTTCATTGCTACAAGCCCCATGTGCTAACGGACAAGGTGCTGGCACGATTCACGCAAATCCATCTGCCTGAACTGATTGTTTTGCTTCCTTTCCGCGCTCCCTGCTGGTGTGATCCAACTGGGCGTGAGACTGCAAGGTCCCGAATCTTCATGCCAGGCTGCTGAACAAAAGGTAGGGCTAAGTTTTGAACCTGATCCCAAACTCCCAAACCTCCAAACTCCTGAAGCCAAAGCTCAACTGTGAATTAAGCATTTTACATTCCTGAGCCGTTGTGGGGCTAGAAGGATGTCATTTTTTCGCTCCATCTGACTTGGCAGTGGCCAGTCCCGCCGTTCGGAGCCAGGCGTGCACCTTGGCAGGCCATCTTGTTGGGTCGTGGTGCTGGGGGAAAATCCTTAAAACATCGCAACAGAGCACGTGCATCTGCACGGCTGCATGTTCCGACATGTTCCGATGCATGCAACGGGACTCGAAACTCCTCGCTTGTCATTCTTCCAACTCTTGAATGGGCTGCATGTTCCCATGTCCAGCAATCAATTGTACCAACATCACCACAAGGCAAATCGACAAGACACAATGAGAATGAACGCCCTGATTTCTCCCCCCCCCCGGCCCACACTGACCCCAACGACAAAACATTATCAGGGTACAATTGCACGACACCAGGTGACACCAGCTCGCGGCCGACCTAGATCCTCGACAGCGCCAGGTCGCACCAGGGCGGCTGGAGAAAGCTAAGGGACGCCAGCTCGCCAGCTCCCTAAAGCCACCTGAAGTTTCCGACGCCAAGTGGCGCCAGGTCGGCCGACAGAGCTAAGAAACGCTAGCTCGCCAGCTCGCTGTCTCGACCTAAAACCACTTGAAGTCTCCGACGCCAGGTGGCGCCAGCTCGCGGCCTACCTAGAGCCACCTGAAGTCGAGAGAGCCAGGTCGCGCCAGGTCGGCCGGAGAGAGTTATAAGGGACGCCAGCTCGCCACTGAAGTTTCCGACGCCAGGCGGTGCCAACTCGGGGCCGACCTGGAGTGACCAGAGGTCGGGAGCTCGGGGCCGACCTAGAGCCATGTGAAGTAGTTGGAAGCGCCAGGTCGGCCGACAGAGCTAAAGGACGCCAACCCGCTGTTTCGACCTAAAGCCACCTGAAGTTTCCGACCAGGTGGCCAACAGGTGGCGCCAGCTCGGGGCCGACCTGGGGCGACCTCGGGAGCGCCAGGTGGCGGATCTCGAGAGGTCGCGCCAAGGCATGGCGCTCTCTCAGCTCACTCCAGCTCGGCCCCGAGCTGGCGCCACCTGGCGCTTTGAACTGCGCTTTGATTTCAAGCCTCTCCAGGTCGGGAGCTGGCTCTTTCGACCTCACCGCTCCTGGGCCCCGGCACCACCCCCCAGGTTGTTCCCGAGCTGGCGCCACCTGGCGCTCCCGATTACAGGTCGCGCAGGTTGGCTTCGAGCTGGTGCCACCTGGTTGCCACCTGGCGCTTTCGACCTCAGGTCGCTCCAGGTCGGCCCCGAACAGCATAAGCATTAGTCTTACCTTTTCTGTTGGTTTTACTTTTACTCTTACTCTTGCTCTTGCTCTTACT